ATATTTTTAAAAGGTGAATCAATGTCCTTTTTCCATGTCTTTTACTGATTGGTTGCTAAACAATATATTTGCACCATGTTGTAGTCAGATGGAGTACCTACCACGACCGATTGACCTTCTTTGGTGTTACTATAATCTGTAGTCTGAGTTTGGAAAGGCAGATATCTAAAAATCTTACTAATTAGCGAGATACCCCCACATAAAAGCAAAAAAGTTCAGGTTCAGGATTATTTTTCACTTTAAGCCCTGCATATATATATATGTATATATAAATATAAATGTGTGTGTGTGTGTGTGTGTGTGTAAAATGTTGCTTGGCCATTGTCACCTCAACTAGGCGCTTTTGTTAGCCATCCACAATAATATATATAGCTCAAATAGCTCAGTTTTTGTTTCATCTGGCAAGAGAACTTCCTTCCAGAATGTATTTTCTTTGTCCATATGATCAGCAACAAACTTTGGTCAAGTTTTAAGGTGCCATGTCTGGAGAAAGGGATTCCTTCATGCACAGCAGTCTCTAAGATGCTAGACCTTAGGCACTGACACTTGTGTTCCAGCAGCCTCTAATTCACTGCAGGCATTGCCACTAAGAAAATTTGATTTTCACAAAATCATCACCAAAACTGTCAATTCAAGTTGCTGTATGAATATTTTTCACCTGGAACATTTTGTCAGTTTCAAGAAGAACTGTAAGAAAAATCTGTGATAAAACTAAAAGTGCTAAAAACTAAGGCTGTTTTTTTGTGACAAAGATGCATGTGTTTAAATCATTCCATAGAAAATTAAGTTGTAGAACTCACTGTAAACTCAAGCCTGCCATGATATGCATGATATTGGAAAGTGTATGTAAACTTTTTTTCACGACTGTACCTATGTAACGGTAAGCACTTGCATCTACATGCATGCTGTCTCACACACACACACACACACACACACACACACATATAGGCATATATATATATATATAGAGTCATGGAAAAAAATATTAGACCACCCTTGTTTTCTTCAATTTCTTGTTCATTTTAATGCCTGGTGCCACTAAAGGTATGTTACCTGAAGAACACAATGAACATGACAAAAAAAAGCAGCTGATTACATAAGACTTCACTTAAGCTTGATTGTATTCCCAGAGTATATAAGAGACCATTTCATGTCATAAGCAGCACTGCACATACAAAGGCCTGGAGTGATTTCCTGCTTACATTCAAGCCATAGCACAACTCAGAAGTTGTCAGCTCTCACATAATGCCTAAAACAAAAGAATTATGTGAAGCCACAAAGGCAGCCATCTTGGCACTGCTGGAAATTGGCATGAGTGAGAGACAGGTAATAAAAAAACGGAAGATCTCCAAGACAGCCGTTCATCACACCAAGAAAAAACAAGCCCAACATGGGACTACCAAATTGCTAGCTGGTTGCTGCAGGAAATGTCTTTCTACCCCTTGAGATGACCAGGCACTCATCTGTTCCTGTGTCTGGAATCATCGTCAGACCTCCAGGGACCTTAAAAATGAGTGGTCACTGTCGAGAAATGTGACTTGTTTGGCAAAGACAATTCAAAACCAACTTCTTGAAGCTTATCTGAAGTTTCACGGCACATCGAAGAGCCCTTCATCAACAAAAGACAGAGGAAAGCCCTGTTACTCTTTGCTGGAGATCACAAGGATTGGACTGTTGATGACTGATGAACTACTGGTCAGGAGGAAGCCTGGAGAAGCCTACAAACCAGACTGTCTTGCCCCAACAGTAAAACATGGGGGTGGATCAGGTCTGGGGTTGTTTCAGTATGGGTGGAACAAGGCAAATGCAATTGTGTGAAGAGTGAGTGAACCAAGTCATGTACAGGGCTACTCTTAAAAACACTCTTCTTCCATCAGCTGGAAAACTCTTTCCTGCCTTGAATGACTGGATTTTCCAACAAGACAATGCCCCTTGTCACACGGCAAGGTCAGCTAAAGCCTGCATGGAGAACCAGAACATTCCAACCATGCTTTGGCCTGCTCAATCACCAGATCTAAAGCCAATGGAAAACCTGTGGAAAATCATCAAAGGCAAAATGGAGAACCACAAGCCCAAAAACAAAGCAAATGTGTTTGAATTTGTGCAACAAGAATGGTCTTCTGTGACAGCAGAACAATGTCAGAAGCTGGTGGAGAGCATGCTAAGACGCATGGCTGCAATCATCAAAAACAATGGTTATGCAATCAAGTACTAACTCCTGTGTGTATCATGTCACTAAAACAGACAAAAGAAAACATGGAATGCCTAAAAGCACTGTTTTTAGCAGTACAATGCCATAGCTATTGCTGTAAGAACTTAAGTGATTTTGGCTATTATCAAGAGAATGACTAGATATCAGCTCTTAAATTAAACTCTTGTGGGCTATTTTGGTTATCATTATACTTGTCCAAACAAATGTACCTATAGTTGTACCAGGCTTTAAAATGAACAAGAAATTGAAGAAAACAAGAGTGGTGGTCTAATATTTTTTTCCATGACTGTATATATATATATATATATATAGAGAGAGAGAGAGATAGAGAGAGAGAGAGAGAGGCACATGAGCAGTACACATACAGGCACACATATAGTCATGTTCATGCATATTGTATATTCAGTCATGCATGTCCAAATGAAATATTCGATTTTGGCCTAGATGGCTTGTGATATTTTCTGGCGGCAGCTTCCACAGTGGGATGATGTTCTGCTTTTCTGTGCTTACTGTAATGTGAATATCCCCTTGTATCTTTTTTGTAGTGCTTGCAGTAATATTATTGAGTCTACAGCTAATATTACGGCCGATTTATTGTGGAAAAGATATCTGGTGGTACATGGTATAAACAGGAGGTGGTGTTAGCAGTAGCATAAGTCGTAATAATTTTACCTCCTATTTGTTCGTTAAAAAAGAAAGAAAGAAAGAAAGAAAGAAAGAAAGAATGGAAGGAAGAAAAGTGATTGAACAGTTGCAGCGCTACACTGGTGGTAGCAGTTGTGCTAATAGTATTAGAAACCTAAAAGTAGCAGTAGAGTGTAACAGCTTTAACACTGATTTGAAATCGTTGACATGCTCACGGTTCCAGTAAACAGGGTAGCATTCCTTCTCCCTGACATCCACTTCGTATAGCCCCCCTCTGACACACACTGCCTCCACGCTGACACTGATGTCCTCCGAGTCTTTTATCTCCTCTGACAATGAGCGCTGCAGCCCTCTGTCCCGCTGCAGCGCCGGGTCCGCCCGGACGCTTCCTATGTCCACGGCCAAGCTTTCGGGCCGGACCTCGCCGGATTTGACTGTCTCCTTTACGTCGGCCTCAGCTGGATCAATGTGGCGTTTGATCCTGTTAGGGTTCTGTTCGCAGAATCTGCGATAGATAATCTCGATTTTTAAAGAGTCGTGTCCGACGAATGGCTTCCATGTCCGCTTATCCTCTTTGTAAAACCACCGGACCTCCTCTGGTCCCAGCTCCGTGACGATGTCACCTCGGTGCCTGGAACTATTGGACCGTATGCGCTTCTTGGTTGTGACATTCCCATCGTTTTCGGTGTAGTTTGAAACAATGTCCAGATACGATGATCCAGAATATTCCTCCCCAGCCAGGCCCAGCATCATGCCATCCTGGGACAACTGCGAGTCCCCCCTTAACAGGGGCAGATGTCTGTCCAAGCCGGGCTGCACTGGGTCACTGTCCACCGCATCAACACTGTCTCCCATCTGATTGTCATCGAAGCCGGACACAAACACATCATTTGCCATATCCCATTCACTACTGCTGACAGAGTTATTTTCCGAGCTCTGTTGACGAATAGTCGGTTTATCCTTCATATTGCTCATGATGTTACTGCAAATTATTATGCGCTGTACATAAAAGCCTCGTAAAAATCACAATGATCTCCCAGATGATTATACCAGATTAACGGTCTTTCTCCCCAGCTGGTAACATCTGTATGTCGAAATGCTCTGACCTACGAATATAACTTCTCAACATTATAGCTACAAAACTACATACAAAACATGTACACTTGCCGCTTTACTGAATGCACATACTCTCGATTGCAATCCCAGTTTTCGTGATAACTGCCGGAATATTGTCTGAAATAACCAGGATGATAATCTCAGTTGGTTTAAAATGTCAAACCAAATACGAAAAATTAAACTTCCTGTTCAATAATTCAAAATAAATTGACTAAAGCGAGCAAGAGCAAGCATTTTCTAAAATCATAGTACACTGCACCTATAATACGGATATATATATTGACTGAAAATGCAACTGTCAATGTAGGTTTTATTTTTCCGTGTATTTACTGCGTCATTTTAAGCATAGATTGCAGAGAGCTCATTCAAGATATATTTATATACTTTACATTTGAAGGCCAGTTTGTTCTCGCTTTCGCTGGGAGTTTGACTAATTTAGGTTGTGAGCTCAAATTTGAGGATTTAAGACTGCATCTGAATTTAGACAGTTAAATATTTAAATGAGCATACATTTTGAACTGACTATAAAACTGACTTCTGATCGAACCAAATTTTAGGATCAATGCCTCCGAAAAGCGTAAGGCGTGTTATGTACCTTTCAGGCCACCGTAGTTCTAGTTGAGCAGTTCCTGGAATGGCTGTCACGGAAAGTGTTTACTTGTACTTTATTATTATTATTATTTTCATTTTTAAATAAAATGGCTTATTTTGCGATATGCATGTTATGAAATGGCAGCGGGTTTTCTAGTCACGTTATATGAGTACTCGCCACTGTTTTACATTGGTGTGGTTTCTTTATGTTTCGTAATAACCGCCGCCATGGTGCTCGGCTGGTAAGTGATATTTAGCCAAGTTAGTTTACCTAGTGTCCTGACCATAACAGTTCGATACATTATCTTTACATATTGGAGCCAAGTGTGTTCTTCGGATTTCGTCGACAAAGGCTACTGTTGTCAGTTATTATATGAGCTTGGATGGGATTACCACGGGCCATTGCATTAGGGTACCACCTCAAAATTAGCTTTGACTGGAATACACACCGTACATACGTAGCCGTCAGATGCAGCCAGAGCTGCTACTGCTGTAATATCAGCGTCTGTAGCTTCTTACCATCACTGATGTTCACAAACATTTTCAGCCAAATTCATTCACTGGTAATGAAGTAGGTTTTTTATATACACACGTGTTGTAACAAAAGATTGAAACGAGGAAAGTCTATGAATGTAAACTAATATGAACTACGTTACAGTAATAACTAAATAAGGACTAAACGACTCACTGCTATTACACCACCATGGATGGCACAAGAAAATGGCAATGTGTTACTTCAATGAAAACAGTTGTTGGTAAGAGATATCAAAGTTGACCTGTTGACTGACTATACCAACAGATCAACTTTGATATGTAAGACAACACATAAAATGATCAGGGACTTTACTAATTTTCGTTGTCCTCCAGTACAAGTTATATATTTCTTGTGATATCAGAATCTTTGGAGATACATGAATACCCCCTTCTAAAGTAACAGAATTAGCAGTAGTTGTAGATATAACCCGTTTTTGGACTACAAATTGGGTAGACAGTTATTGGGGTGGCAGTCACTACAAGAAATGAATATTTCAACAGATTTTTCTTGTGCATAACTTCTTAGCCTTTTATTTATTTGAAGGTTAAGATAGAAGTGAGCAGCATCAGCTGAACCCACTCTGTGGTGATTCACATTTTGCTCTGTCTGCGTCATGTCCTGTAGGTTTGGCTTTGATGTCCCTGTGATTCTTCGCAGCTATGAGGAGACAGAGACGATCATACTAACACCTGAGAGACAAATGGTTCAGGTGACCAATCCCTTCACCTTGGTGTTGGGATCTGGGCCAGCATGTGTCATTGGTGAGAACAATCATCTTTTGGAACATAATGTAGTCACTGGGAAGCGTAAATATAGCATAACTTGTTGTGTGGGGGATGTTCAATGCCCTCAACAATAGTAAAGGCTTACTAGTACAAAAGAATAACTGTTTATCCTTCCTGTCCCAGAGTAGTAGAGATCATGCTGTACACCTTCCATGTGTGGAACAGTGTTTCTAAAATGGTATCATGAAAATCAACAGAAATTACTACTTAGAAAATACACAATGTAGATATAATTTTGGTTCTGGGTCTGTTGTTGAATTCAAGGCATCCATGTGGATATTTGAAGATCTCCAATGAAGAACTTTGACACCAATGAATATGCAGGGCTATGAATCCTGCCTCCAGATGTCCCCAGGATTTTACAATCAATAATACCATTGAGTAGTACCTTTATCTGTTGTATCCCATGTTATGATAATATTAACATACAATCCTTCGCAGGTGGTGTGTCATTGAGGCCTTGCTGTCTAGAGCCCTGTATCCTGAGCTGTTTCTGGGGCTGTGAGGTCAATGCCCTGCAGGGAGCGCTGCAGGCCCACCAGCACGGCCCGAGGCTTAGTACTCCCAAACATTTCCAGGAAGCACTACACCTCAAGTACAAACACTACCAGGTGTTCCAGTATCCTTTACATTGCTAACAAGAAACATGGTAATTCTAGGTTTGGATCACATGATCCGACCTGGCCTATCCTAACCCAATATCTTTATATTTACTGTATGTGCAAAAGTTTAGGCACTATAACTAAAACGTTTTGTTGTTATACTATGTGACTGAAGAAAATATAATTAAATTAAGCAATAAAAACATATAGTTGTTCAGTGCTTCCCCTTACTAGGTTATACTCCATATAGGCAGAGGGTAAAGCAGGGGTGTCCAATCCTGGTCGTCAAGGGCCACAATCCTGCATGTTTCCCTCTTCCAACACACCTGATTCAAATGATCAGCTCATCATCAAGCTCTGCAGAAGCCTGATAACGATCCTGATCATTTGAATCAGGTGTGTTGGAAGAGGGAAACATCTAAAACATGCAGGATTGTGGCCCTCAATGACCAGGATTGGACACCCCTGGGGTAAAGGTTAGCCTTAAATCTCGAAGGGTGCTGGTGATAGCTAAAAACGCATCATATGATTTTTAGTGTTGATGATTTGATAACTCAACATAGCAAATGTCGAGTGTTTAGTAATTTGGATTATGTTTAGATGTTGAGAAAGCTGAAAGTAACAACACTGGAGGCATGATAGTAATTCTGAAATAAGGTAATGTTTGTTTTTGGTCAGTTTACTATGAGAATAATTGAATACGTTTGATAGAAATACTGATCAAGGTAATCAGATTAAACCTCCCATATGTGTTAATTAACAATGTTTAAGTGTTTTGGGGTAGGTATTATAATGTTGGCACAGTACTATTATAACAGTTGAAATCAAAGTAGTCGATGCAATCATTTTGTCATGGTGACACAATACATACTCATGAAGACTAGGGTATTTATTTGACTTGTTTTGCCTGTTAAAGTCCATCCTAATATTAGCCTCTTTGACCCCACCCTCTCAGTATCAGCAGGGAAAACAGAGAAGAACACTATACACAGCTTCCTGCTGATCAGGGCATCACAGATTTTGGGCCGCTGCCAAGAGAACGCTACCCTCTTGTGGCTGTACTAACTATGGCAGAGGCAGAAGCCAGACGCACATACAATATTGTGAGTTCATCTCGTGTAGCCATCCTTGTTTTTTATGGAACTGAAAGCACTTGAGTAAGTGTGTTGGTGTGCTGGAGCAAGATGACCAGACTCATGTCATAGTCTCAAGCTTCATATCTATGTTTTCACCACAGCAATGTTTCTAGGGCACTTAACTGTCTACTTCTCTCTATCTTGCATTTTGTTTCACTTGTTTATCAGCTGTTTCTGAGACTGAATTGAACAACCAACTGCAACACTATTAATGACTTCCTGGAGAGACTGAAATGGGCTGCATTATCTGCAATATCTTGTTCATACAAACGGAATGAATTGTGATGTTTTGAAAAAACATAAATTGGCCCATCGAGACAAGTGTTTAAAAAAGCTCATTTATTATACTGTCTTTTCACTTTCAGGTGGCAAGTGTGACAGTTATTCATGTTCCTGATGAAAAATACAACCTTTCTGCACGAATCCTCTTTCAGTACCTTCTCACTTCACAAGGGAACATGTACGAGTTAAAGGTATGTCACATTTTGGGTCAAACATTTTATTCTGCCTTTCTCTTAAACTGAGGCAGTCAAGTGCTCCATATTTTTAAATAAAAATTCTAGTTTATCTGGAATTCAAAGCTAATATTCCACAATCAAATCAATTTGCTGACTGTGTAAGTAATAAGTAATCAGGCAAGGTTTCAATCAGCAATTATAAATGTTCCTAAATCATTAAATGAGAATAAATCGTGTTGTACTCCATTAACTTTGTATTGCAAATGTACATCAGTTGTTTACGAATGGATTTTGGTTCCAGGAGGTAAGTGGTCACTGGATTAGAATAAAGGGATTAAAGATAAAGATAAACTTTATTGATCCCACAGTGGGCAAAGTTCACCGTTACAACAGCTCCAAAAGAAAAACTGTACAGTCAGTGCAAGAATAATTTAAAAACACCCAGTGTAAATTGTAGGAAAAAAGAAATACACAGTGCAAAAATTGCAAGAGAAAAACATTATATACAATTTTTTTTTCTTTTTAAGAAGACTATATACACAAGATGAGGCAGTAACAGTTATTACACATAGAGGAATGGGTTTGTTAGTAGAAAAAGTGCAGCAGTAACAGAGGTGCCAGTGGAGTTTATAATGCAGCATTGTAAAGTCTGACTGATGTTGGAATAAAGGATCTGCGGAGACGTTCCTTCTTACACTTTGGGTGTAGCAGTCTGTCACTGAATGCACTGCTTAAGGAGTTCACAGTCTGATGCAGAGGGTGGGAGGTGTTTCCTTTAATAGCAGACAGTTTAGCCAGTGCCCTCCTCTCTCCCACCACCTCAGTGGAGTACAGGGGGCAGCCACAGACTGAGCTGACTCTTTTTTATCAGTCTGTTGAGTCTGCTCTTATCCTGCTCAGAGCACCCCCCTCCCCAGTACACCACTACATAGGAGACCACCGATACCACCACAGTGTCGTACAACGTCCTCAGCAGTGGCCTGCACGCACCAAATGATGCACGCCTCCTGGAAAGTTCACCGTTACAGCAGCTCCAAAAGAAAAACTGTACAGTCATTACAAGAACAATTTAGAAACACCCAATGCAAATTGTAAGAAAAAAGAAATAGAATACAAGACAAATCAAGTAATGCTAGAGGAGGACTTGCTGCAACCTGGCACTGCAAAAATATTCTTAATTGATGGCTTAGAAAATATCTGTGAAGCATCTGTAAACAAGGTATTAACCATTAACTAAATTATTATTTCATGTCTTAGGACTTATCATAAGTTGACACCAATACATAAAACATGTGAGCAAGTTATCCTTTAAATGAGTGCCCCAAATCTAACATATTATTCAAATCACCCACCACATTGATAGTATTCTCTCAGTGAAAAAAGTTCAGTAATGGATGCTACAACCTCTGCCTCCCATTCTACTTCTGTAAACTCTCGGAACGACAAGTTAACCAGCAGTCTGCAGGCGAAGGCTCTGTTAGGATAATATCAATTCAATTTTATTTTTTATTCATTAACACTAATTTACAACATATGAAGAGTTAATTTGCAAAAACAGATAACTCCATCTTTACAAACTTTCAGAAAACCCACTTTTCCATCATCTACCTGAGACAATATCAATCAAACTTAAGTTGTCTCTATTTTTGTCATGTCATTTCTACTGAGTCAAATCCACTCAACTTCAGTTTGATTGATATTGTCTCAAGCAAACAACAAAAAAACACCTTGTTTGAAAATCTACAAAAATGGAGTTATCTGTTTTTGCAAATGAACTCTTCATATGTCACCTCAAGGCACTTCACATAGTAAGGTGAAGATCATACAAAATTTAAACAGAACCCAACAAAGCCACAGTTTCTTTTGGAGCACATTTAAGCAAGGGATGAGAGTAGGGGCATGGTGTGGAGATAGCAGGATAGCAGACGGAGAACAGACAATACATAAGAGAACAAAAAACACGTTGGAGATCGGGAAGGCCAGTTACTGAAGATGAGAGATGTGTTGCTCCAGAGATATCTGCAGAGAGAGCAAAATAGAAACTACAGGAGAGAGAGGACACAAAGTTAGTGACATGCAATGGTGGTATATACCACATGGAGACTGAAAGAGGAAAGTAAAGAAGTGTTCAGTGAATCATGGAAAGTCCCCCAGCAGTCTAGACCTGTAGCAACATAACTGAGGGACAGTTCAGGTGACCCCAAGTCAGCCCTAACTATAACATTGTCAAAGAGGAACATTTTAAGCCTAATAATAAAAGTAGAGAGAGTGTCTGCCTCCCGAACCCAAACTGGGAGCTGATTCCACAACGGAAGAGCTGGTAACTGAAAGCTCTGCCTCCCATTCTACTTCTGGAAACTCTGGGAACCACAAGTTAACCTGCAGTCTGTACAAAGTGCTTTGTTAGGGTACTATGGTACATTAAGGTTGTCAAGGTACAGTGGAGCTTGGCATTTAAGAGTTCTGTTTGTAAGGGGACGGATTTTAATGATGTCGTGGATTTTACAGGGAGCTAATGAAGAGAAGCTAATGTGGGAGAAACATGATCTTTCTTACTGGTTCTTGTCAGAACTCTGGCTGCAGCATTTTGTATCAGCTGGAGGTTTTTAAGTGAGTTAGCACAGTTGAATTGGCACATTAGAATGGAGCCATTGGCAGTGTAATGTTTTTCTGCTATGCCAAGTCAAAGTATTTGCTTGTGAGAAATCCATGCCTCTTGTCTCCCGCTCTCTTGCAGCCTCTCTTCATGTCAGCTGACAGTGGGGATATGTCTGGCCCTCGTGAGTCAGACCAACCTAGTGAACCAAATGAGGAAGCCAGCAGTGTGGAGCAGAGTCCAGTACTGGAGGAGGAGAACTGGGCAGAGGGGATGGGCAGAGACTGTGTAGTCTGTCAGAATGCAGAGGTAAACAGGGTGCTTCTGCCATGCAGACACGCATGTGTGTGTAACAACTGTGTGTCACACTTCCAGCACTGCCCCATCTGCAGAGCCTTTGTCTTGGAGTCCTTTGCCCTGACACAAATACCAGCAGTGGAGCAATGACTCCATATTGAACCTATGACTGTGATGTAAGACATACTACAATACTGCTAATCCATTATACTGCCTCCAGTATTAATAAAACTTCCACGCAAAAATGCAGAAATTGTCTCTTCCAACTGCATGTTGACCAGGATTTTGTTGTGTTAATGAAAATGTACCATCTTTTTGGTAGTAAAATCTCTGCAATGTTGTTAAGTTAAAAGCCCACGAATAGAATATTTTATGTCGTTCTTGAATGCACCCATTAAAAAGTAAGTGAACTCTTGGATTTTAAAACTGGGTGAACCTCACGTGGAGTTTTGGACCATTCTTCCTTTGAAGTGTTCCAGCACAATCAGAATCTTAGAATGTCTGGTGTAAATGGCTCTCTGAGGTCCTTTTACAACATCTCTATTGGGTTGAGACTTGGGCTCTAACTGGACCACTCAAACTTCCATTTTTCTACTCAATAATGGTGAGCTATCCAGGCGTACAGGCAGCAAAGCAGCAAAGCAGCCTCACATCATGATCTTACCACCACTGTACTTTATCTTTGGGATGATGTTTTCAGGTTGATATGCAGTGCCCTTGTTACATCCCACAATCCAAAAGACATTGTTCCAGTAGTACTGTGGAGTGTTAAGGTGATCTTTTGCAAACATAAGGGGCACAGTGATGTTTTGATCAAGACCAACAGCTTGCTTTGTGGTTTCCTGCCATGGACAGCACCATTGACTGTTCAGTGCTTTGCATATGTTCGACTTACAAACAGAAATATTAACCAGCTTCAATGATTGCTTTAAGCCTTTAGTGTTACCATGGAATTTTGTTGAACATTTTGCATTGTATTTTTGGAGTCTTTTTTAGCTATGTGCCTTCTTCGAGAGACAGTAGTCACAAAAGTAAATCATCTCCATTTGCAGTTTAACTGTAGAGTGAATAACACATGAAATCTTTGAGATTCATTTGTAATCCTTTTTATGTAATACTATGCGAATCAACAGTTTTTGATGGTAAGTCTTCTGATAGTTTTTTTTTTTTTTGCAAAGCAGGATTCACATTAGCAGATGTTTCTTGCAAATAGTTAACTGTGCTTGTCAATAGCTGTTATGCACACCTCCAATCTGGTTTCATTGAATGGCTATTTCACAAATCTGCCAACTAAATCGTTACCAAACAATTTCTTCACCAATATATTTGTAAAGGTGTGTAATAACATGCTTTAAAAAGTTGAAGTTCAACTCCCGTGGGAAACCCTGGAAAAACCTCAAGTTAGGGTACTGATAAATGATTGTCGAAAAATCGATTTTAAAAAAATCAGGCCTTAAATAACTTATGAGGGGTCAAATCAGGGTTATTTCTTGATTCTGAGATGATTGTTAGCATTTATATTTCACCACAAACACTCCATTGTTGAAAAAGGCCACACTCACTTTTACATTTACATTCACAGTAGCTTTTATTTCACATACTTACATAACACTCAGAGTTATTTCTCATTCAGTGTCAGAAGCTTCAAGCGTCATTGTCTATGTCTTCTTCAGACTCAACAACATCATGACTGCAGAGTGAATGCTGCACCCTCTGTTAGAGGTAGAGTCTCTGGTTGACCGCCGCCTTCCTTGAGATCATCCATCCATTATCTATACACCTTCATCTTCACTAGGGTCGTGGGGGGGCTGGAGCCTATCCCAGCTGACTCAGGGTGAAGGCAAGGAACACCTGGACAGGTATCTAGTCTTATCACAGGGCTACAGTTAGAGACAGACAACCACGCACGATCACACCTATGGAAAATTTAGTCACCAATTAATCTCAACATGTTTTTGGACTGGGAGGAAGCCAGAGAGATCCTGGTGTCCTCACCGAAATGCGAACCAGCGACCTTCTAGCTGCGAGGCAATGAGCCACCTTGCAGCTCTCCTTGAGAACATGTCTTGAGAACATGCCTCCTTGGTGGCTTCTGTGTCAAGAAAGATGTCCATGTACGCATCCATGTCCCCTGCACAAAACATGTCCAGAAAACTTGTGCAGGGGACGTGGATGAGTACACGGACATCTTCTCCAGCTCCAAGAAGAATGGGGTCATGTGCATCTGGGCCTGTGGAATCTGTAAAGGCATTACACGTGCAGAAACTGCAGTCATGATGTTGTTGAGTCTGAAGGAGACACAGACAATGACTCTTTAAGCTTCTGACATTGTAAATGAGAAATAACTCTGTGTATTATACACCGCTCAAAAAATAAAGGGAACACCTAAACAACACAATGTAACTCCAAGTCAAACACACTTCCACGAAATCAACCTGTCCAGTTAGGAAGCAACACTGATTGTGAATCAATTTCACCTGCTGTTGTGCAAATAGAACAGACAACAGGTGGAAATGAGAGGCAGTTAGCAAGACAACCCCTATAAAGGAGTGGTTCTGCAGGTGGTGACAACCGACCATGTCTCTGTTCTCATCCTTTCTGGCTAATGTTTTGGTCACTTTTGCATTTTGTCAGTGCTCTCAGCCCTAGAGGTAGCATGAGGCGCTGTCTACAACCCACAGAAGTTGCTCAGGTAGTGCAGTTCATCCAGGATGGCACACCAATGGGAGCTGTGGCAAGCACTGTCAGAGCCCTGCAGAATGACCTCCAGCAGGCCACCAATATGCATGTTTCTGCTCAGACTGTCAGAAACAGACTCCATGAGGGTGGTATGAGGGCCCCACGTCTACCAGTGGGACTTGTGCTTACAGCTCAACACCGTGCAGGAAGATTGGCATTTGTCAGAGAACACCAAGGTTGGCAGGTTGGCAGATTGGCCATTGGCGCCTTGTGCTCTTCACGGATGTGAGCAGGTTCACACTGAGCACATGTGACAGACGTGACAGAATCTGGAGATGCTGTGGAGAACTTTCTGCTGCCTGCAGCATCCTCCAGCATGACCGGTTTGGCAGTGTGTCAGTAATGGTGTGGGGAGGCATTTCTCTGGAGGGCCGCACAGCCCTCCATGAGCTAGCCAGAGGTACCCTGACTGCCATCAGGTACCGGGATGAGATGCTCAGACCCATTGTGAGACCATATGCTGGCACCAGTGGGCCCTGGGTTCCTTCTGATGCATGACAATGCTAGGCCTCATGTGGCTGAAGTGTGTCAGCAGTTCCTGCATGATGAAGGCATTGATGCTATGGACTGGCCTGCCCATTCCCCAGACCTGAATCCAACTGAGCACATCTGGGACATTCTGTCTCGTTCCATCCACCAATGCCACGTTGCACCACAGACTGTCCAGGAGTTGACTGATGCTTTAATCCAGGTCTGGGAGGAGATCCCTCAGGAGAACATCCTGCCTCATCAGGAGCATGCCCAGACGTTGTAGGGAGGTCATACAGGCACGTGGAGGCCACACACACACTAATGAGCCTCATTTTGACTTGTCTTGAGGAATTTCCACTGAAGTTGGATCAGCATGTAATGTGATTTTCCACTTTTATTTTAAGTCTGATTCCAAATCCAGACGTCCATGGGATAATAATTTTGATTTACATTGATCATTTTTATGTTATTTTGGTCTCAACGCATTCCACTATGTAAATAATGAAGTTTTTCAACTGGAATATTTCATTCATTGAGATCTAGGATGTGTTATTTTAGTGTTCCCTTTATTTTTTTGAGCAGTGTGTAAGTATGTCATATAAAAGCTACTGTGAATGTAAATGTAAAAGTGAGTGTGGCCTTTTTCAACAATGGAGTATTTGTGGTGAAATATAAATGCTAACAATCATCTCAGAATCAAGAAATAACCCTGATTTGACCCCTCATAAGTTACTGAAGGCCCGATTATCAAAAAATCGATTTTTCGACATTTATCGAGACCTTAACTTGAGCAGGTTTTTCATGGTTTCCCACAGGAGTTGAACTTCAACATTTTAAAGCATGTTATTACACACCTGTAAAAACATATTGGTGAAGAAATTGTTTGGTAACAATTTAGTTGGCAGATTTTGATATGTTTCCCTTACTATGGATGAAGATCTGACCATAGTTTATGACAACATTTTTTACATAAATGCATGTAAGGGGTTCACTTTCCACAGTACAAGAAATTAACATATTTTAGCATTTTCTGCTAATACATCTGATGTGCTGTTGGACATCCATTAAAAAGTAACTGAAGAATCCACTGTCAGTAGAAGTGTTTTTCAAAGATGTGTTTTTTTTTGTTTTGTTTTTTTTTTACAAGTTATTGCTGGAGCTGCCTTACCACCACGCACAATTCACATTCCAATTTTTTCATTTCCAATTGTTTCTTAATTTGCATATTGAACAGTAATAGCATGTAGTGTTGTGTACAGCATCAGTTTTCCAGTGGTGAGAGCAATGACGAACACTGCAATGGTGTTGTGCATCACTTACATTTAACACCACACATTTATCCCAGCAATAATTGTGTGATGCTGACCTTTCAATAGTTGTGTCATTTAAAAATACACTGAACAAAAATATAAATGCCCCATGTCAAATGTAGTTGCCATGTGGAGTTAACAACTGTAAATGAGCATTTGCTGACATTTTATTGTAAGTAATATTTCTCTTGATTTGTGTATAATTTTTAACCCAACTTGCTGTCAGTGAGCATTACTCAGTGAGTTGTTTTTTCACTCAGTGCATGGGTGGGGCATGTCCAGTGGGTGATCAGACAAAATGAGCAACAGCTGGACAATCCTTGGACTGGGGACAATAAAAGGCCACCCCAAAATGTCAAATTTTGTCACAAGTCATAATGCCTCAGATGTCGCAAGTTATGCAGGAACGTGCCATTGGCATGTTGGATGCAGGGATGTCCACCAGAGCAGTAGCTGCACGGCTCAATGTCCATTATCGGACCATAGGCCGTTTAAGAGTTTGTTTCCAACAGACTGGCACAACTGCAAATCGACCTCATCCTTGTTGGCCACATGTGACCACTCCAGCAGAAGATCGCCACATCCAGCTCGTCCATCTGCAGGATCGGCTAAGACCAGCGACACACAGCTGATGAGACTATTGGTCTGCACAACAGATGCATCACACCTCAGACTGTCTGTAACTGCCTACGAGAAGCCAACTTGCATGCTCAGCACCCTCATCGTGGTCTGGATCTCACTGCTGGGCGTAGGAACCGACTCGCATGGGCGAATGCACATGTCCGATGGCCCTTGGCACGCTGGAGAAGAGTGATGTTCACGGATGAATCCAGGTTCCAGTTGTATCGTGCAGATGGAAGACAGTGTGTCTGGCGCCGTGTGGGTGAACGGTTTGCAGATACAAATGTTATGCCCAGGGT